GGCCGCTATAAGATTGTCCACTTCTGATTCATTTATTTGCGCTCATTTTAATAAATAAATTTATTTTTCATAGCCGCGTATTGAGCAACACGCTAAAGTGTACTTTTGTGGCCAATCTGATGATATAAGGGGCTATATTTAAGCACATGGGGTGTGGAATAGACTTACCTCCAAGTGGTCCACCCTGGGCAACGTATACTCATACGGCAAAAAGTCTATTAATCGGCAGTTGACTTCTGACTTCAAACTACCATGACCCCATTGCATTTCATAATCGAATAATTTCACAGTATTCACCTCACCTTTTTCTACCTTTGTCCCTGTCTGTTTGTCTCTTTTACGTCTATGAATCATTATTCTGTTTGTGTCTGTCTCTAACATCTGCAAATCATTAATCCCTCCACTGTCTCTGCTCTCGACTTTTTGCCACTTTGGTGTTCCTCTTCCTTTCTCTGAAGCCTGAAGTCAACTAAAGGGCTAATGATAAATATCAGCCCGAAGTCAACTAAAGGACTAATGATACCTATCATAACGCCTGCTATTTGAAATAAATTAATATTTAAGTACATACACTTGTTTTCAATGTAGTTAGACAAATGGCAGGCTTTATGATTTTCATTATTAGCCCATGTAGTTAAACAACTGACTTAAACGAGTTGGTGACCTTGCAATTAACGCTGAGCATAGAGGAGAACTTTATTGACTTATCGTACCAATTGGAGTAGGCGATAATAAGCGGAAATTTGTGCCATCAACGATTGAGATGGACTTAGGCATAGGTGAGAGGAGATATACGCTTTCTGTGTTTCAAACGAAACAGACTGAATTGGAATTGGGGAACTCACAAATGTGGTAGAATTGAGAGTTTATGCCAATTGGACACCTCGCCTAACAAACACGTCGCTAAGCGTCCATCCACTCCCATCTCTGGATGTCGATATTAGCAGTAGTAGAATTGTTTCTCCAGTGCCGTTTGCATTTTAGTGTTCATTTTGACTGGACGGTGGAGTGTTTCACTTTTTTATTTGAGTTCATAATGATTTAAGCTACCTCATTACAGCAGGTCAATTTGAAATAGGTAATTAATTAATTAAAATTATTTATTTATATCAAATGGGAGGCGTTTTGATAGTTATCATTAGCCCTTCAGTTGACTTCGGGCTTTATAGAGGGCAGGAGGAACATCAAAGTGACAAAAGTCGAGAGTGGGTGGGGGGGGGGTACAGAAGAGTGCTTCATAGATGTAAAAGAGACAGACACAAAGATAGAATAAAGGTGAGGTGAGTACTGTGGAAGTGGTGGAACATGACATACAGTGGGGTGATGGTATTTTGAAGTGAGAAGTCAACTGCCAATTAACAGACTTTTTTGCCGTATGAGTATACATTGGCCAGGGTGCACCACGTGGAGGTAAGTCTATCGCACACGCCTTAATTTAAATAATTGCAACCTGTCGCCCAACATCGACATCCTTCGCTGTATTTTGTGCTTGTTAGAGGTAATTGCTCGATATCCCACGCCACTTCCCCAATTTTCCCCAGGTTCCCTTCGTCTCTGAGAGGTGCAAAACCTTGTCAACAAGCACCATTGGAATGTAGAACCTCCACACTGTTTGATCAAACCTAGCACCATTAAGTATTCCATGTAGCATAATATGGTCAACAGACTTCCTCAATTCGAAACACGGCAGACTGAAATGTACTGCAAATTCGAGATAATCGATAATCAGTGGAGATTGAGAAAGAGAGTGCAAAGTGCCAGGTGGATGGGGCATGTGAATGGGCCGAGTCACTACGACGCAGGGGTCTAAATACGGACGCGTTTTGAGCACCCGGTGGGGGGGGGGTTGTGTAGGGGAGAGGTGTAGTGAAAAAAATAATGAAAAGAAGGACAGAACGAGAATTGGGTCCAGATCGTATTATGATGTGTAATTAGTTAAGTTGATGAGCCAGGTATCCTATGATGGAACGGCAGTGACTGCCTACTTTTGATCGTGCATTTCGGTTACCTTCTTATGATAAAAGCCTGAATATTTTTTGATCACTTTGAACCGTATAGTTGACGTGTGGTCAGTGGCTTGCATCCTAGTGGAATTGAAGACGGGTCAGGCGCTCTTTCGTGGTCTCAACCATATCGATCAGGTGAAGCAGATTATGAGCATCGTGGGAACTCCTGATGAGGAAATGATGAAGAGAATCACTAGCAATAGTGTAAGTTAACCCAATTTATCTTTCGCCCCGCTCTATTTAAGTAGTATTATGCCGATCATGCAATTTTGGCCTAATTTTTTAGGCTCGAGAATTCATTGAGCGAAACTACACGGAGAGGAGGGATCTCAAGGAGGTCTTCCCCTGGGCTTCACCTGATTGTAAGTCGCCTTTTACATGGACCCAACTTTTTTTTACTTTACCTTTCTTTTTTGGGAATAGAGATCACAGGAGGCCGAGTATTTATAATCATCTCATTCCTGCTGGCTCATATTGATGAATTCATCTCCAGATTCTGATAAGCAGCAACCTTCTTTCGAGTCTCTCAATCAGTGGTGCTCATTTCGAAGTTCTTTCAGGGGACTCAGGGCATCTCACAAAGGGGGAGAGAGAGAGAATGTGCATTTCATTATATCATGCTAACTACACCTGATTAGATAGGCAAATGCCACACATCTCTAACTACAGTGAGAAGTTAATTGAGTTCAAGTTGCTGTGTGCGCCAGATTTGAGTTTGTCGTGTGGTCCGACTTTGAGAACTTGAGGCTCGCACGAACAAGATGTGAATGTCCCTCGCAATACTCCAATCTTGACCTCTTTATCTAGAATCCGCAACCACACTTCTCGTGAATACAACTCTGATCAAGACTATGGGCGTGGAATAGCTATTCTCTTTCCTTACCTTTAAACAGAATTTACTCGGGAATCACTTTTTACTTAATTCACACAAAGGTTCTCCTTTACCATTAAAGGTCCCCCTTAGAAATATTGTGGAAGTGAGCGTGGGAGTTTTAAATTATGCAAAATTGTCACCGTATTTTCATTGTTAGCCAATGCAAATTCGGGTTAGCGCCTGAAGGTCAAAGGTTGGTGTAAAGCCTAGGCTTCAGCGACTTCTTGACCAGTGATACTAATATCACCTAACTACACTTGGTGCGTCGAATTAGTTATTGAGAGTGATCAGGTCTGGCCCTATAAAGGCGTGGCACAATATAAGATTCTCCATGCTATTAAGTATTGGAAATAAATATTTTCCGAAATAGACACGTGAGTTACTCTTTCTGCAATTATTTATTTATTTCAAATAGCAGGCGTTTTGAATAGTTTTCATAAGCCCTTTAGCTGACTTCGGGCTTCACAGGGGGAATGGAGCATCAAATTAACAGAAAGTCGAGGGGTGGGGAACAGTAGATTAACTCAAAGGCGGAAAAGAGACAGACACAAAGGTAGTGAAAAAAATAAGATGAGTACTGTGGAAGTAGTCGAATATGGTATACAGTGGGGTGGTGATAGTTTGAAGTGAGAAGTCAACTGCCGGTTAATAGACTTTTTGCAGCATGAGTATACGTTTCCCAGGGTGCACCACGTGGAGGTGAGTCTATTACGCACACCTCTTTCTGCAATTATTAACCGTGTAGAAGTCGCACATTTTGTATGTAGCGTGTTAGGATATATACATCGTCATTTCGTGACCACATTAATTATCGGGAGTTTTGCTGCGTGAGATGGGTATTAATCTGTAGTGAGTAGGCTTGAACTGGATCACACACCTCCTTTATGCCTGATGCCTTGAGAGATAAGTGGTAGTCACCATAACGAAAAGAGGGGAATGAGCGCATAGATACCTGCGTTCAAACACCACTTTGTGTCCCATTCGAGAGCTCTCGCTATCTTCCACATTCACTTGCGGCAAGGTGACCTACAGGCGAATGAGGTTCTCTTATTCCATTCTTGTGGGCAAAAAAATGCGCATGGATTAGTCTGCTGCTTCAGTTTGTTTACAAACAAATTTTTTTCCACCAGATTCGGTTTAATAGTCTTATGTCTGATGGACGAATTCTATTTTAGTGAATTTTATGGAAATTGCCTATCGGCAAAATCTTGCTACTAATACCCCATTAATAAAGGCACTTTTTTCAATAGAACCTAATTATTTCCTTACTCTTTTTTTTCAAATGGCAGGCTTTGTGATATTTATCACTAGACCTTAAACTGACTTCAGCTTCCCCCAAGGGTGGGGGGGGGGGGGG